AATAATAATTGAACAGAAACATTCATGTATAAAATAATAATTGAACATTATTTATCTGAGGAGCAGCTTTGAGTTTAACTCCATCACAGAACTCTCATGTTGAACAAGCATGAAGGCGACAGTGGAAAGAAAAACTCCCTCATGAGGAAGAAACCTTTAGCAGAACCAGGATCAGGACTAGAGGACCATCTGCTTCGACCGGCTGGGTTTGGTAGGAATAGATACACAATGGCAGGTCAAGAATCGCATGTTAAGATAAAAATAGTCTCAAATGAAAACTATTCAGTTTTAACAATTAATTTAAGGAAATGGGGTCAGTTTGTCCTCTAGTAGTCTAAGTCTATAGCAGCATAACAAGCCAACCCTAACTATAGGATTTATCAAAAAGGAAAGTCTTAATCCCATCCATCCATTATCTTTACCCGCTTATTCCATTTTGGGTCACGGGGGTCGCCGGTGCCCATGTCCAGCAATCACTGTGCGAGGGGCGGGGGACACCCTGGACAGGTCTCCAGTCCATCACAGGGACACATAGAGACAAACAAGACAAACAACCATTCACTCTCTCACTCACACCTAGGGACAATTTAGAGTTACCAATCAGTCTAACATGCATGTTTTTGGTCTGTGGGAGGAAACCGGAGTACCTGGAGAAAACCCACGCATGCACGGAGAGAACATGCAAACTCCACCCAGAAAGGTCCCTGGACCGGGGTTTGAACCAGGGACCTGCTCGCTGAGAGGCAGCAGCTCTACCTGTTGCACCACCGTGCTGCCTAATCCCAGTCTTCAAACTGGACAATGTGTCAGCCTCATGGACAGAAACTGGAAGTTGGTTCCACAAGAGAGGAGCCTGAGAACTGGAAGATCTTCCTCCCATTCTGCTGCTGGAAACTCTAGGAACCACAAGTAAACCTGCAGTCTGAGAGAGAAGTGCTCTGTTAGGAAAATATGGAACAAGATCTCCAGTATAAGGTGGAGCCAGGTTGTATTGTGTTGGGTGTCACAGATGTGGCTTATTACAATGTTATTGTCATCAGTTCAGTATCAATAGTTTAGTAATGTGACGGCGTGTGGGACTAAGAATAATGTGACGGCGTGTGGGA